GCAATGAATACATACCCCTCGTGCAACAAATTGACTACCTGGGTATTGTTCTCTCCTATGGACGATTCGAGGATCTCAGTTGGAAGCGCAGGCTCGGTGTTTCTCAGGCTAGCTATGAGCGTCTTCGGAAGATTCTCTTGGGCCACCATGTCCTATCACTGCCACATCGTATACAATTGTGGCGGGCTGTTGTACTTTCGTCGGCCTGTTATGGGCTTGTTGGTGTTGGCTGGAGTCAGTCAGGCTATGAACGGATGCACGGCATGTGCATGCGACATATGCGTGCTATTGCACGTGCTCCTCGGCATCTCACTCATGAAACCAATGACCACCTGTTACAACGACTGGGGGTCCCAACGCTTGGTGAGCATCTTCATCGTATTGCAGTCCGAGCTCATGAGTATCATATGTCCCTATCCCAGTATTTGGATGCGTCGGATATTGTGTGCAGGCCATTATATACTGATTGGTATGGAGCCCTCTCGGCGCAGATTCGTCAAGCGGTTGATCGCACCAATCTGATGTCAGCCTCTTTGACACATGATTCCTTGGATCTCCCGTATCAGTGTGAATTCTGTGAACGGACCTATGCCACGATGCGTGATTTGAGGGCACACCAAACAAAGATGCATTCTGATGAACTGCCGGAGGACTGGAATCGGAGCCAAATTACGCTGGAAAATGTTCGTCAGTACGCTGTTGATGGTATGCCCACCTGTTCGTTCTGTCTTCGGGATTTCAAGAACTGGCAGAATCTTTACACACATTTGCTGCATTCGCGCTGCACCGCAGTGACAGCAGGGCTCGAACCAGTAGCGGCTACCCTGACTGCCTCCGCTACGGTTCTGCCCTTTGTCAGGAACTCTGCATTTCTGGCTAAGCTTCGTCAACATGGTATTCAGCCCTTGCGGAAAGCGGATGCAACATTGCAGGAACTTCGACATCATTGCTGTATCTGCAGGCAATGGCTGGTGCACTCAGACTATGCATGTTCGCATTATAAGAAAACCCATGTGGCCATATGGAAGGAGTTTGAACATCGTGTTCGAGCTCTGGTGCGACCCAGTTATTTGAGTGCACAATGTCCGTACTGCCTGCGCAGGCCCTCTCGGAGGGGCCGACACAGATGCCCTGTTCTTATGCAGGTACATCTGGCCATACTGCTGGATGGACGAGATTCTTCGCGAGGGACAGGAGCTGGCCCCTCCCAGTCGGGAGGAAACCAAATACTTTACGGACATGTTTCCCAAACCACACTCTCCCACCCAGATGACGGAGCCGACAGCCCCTATGGACACCAGTGCTCAACCAAAGCGCGGCATTTTAGAAGGCTCTTCGGCCAAGGAAGAGGGACAGCAGAAAGTTTTCAAGGCAGCGGAGCGCACAGCACAGAAAGCAGAGCCAGCGATGACAGTGTCCACCACGGCCACACCGACAGGCTCCCAGAGCTCTCAGACTCAGCAATCCCTGCCACCGGCTCCCCCCTTGACAACAGGCAACGACACACAGCCGAAGGGCAAGAACAAGGGGAAGAAGGACAAGAACAAAGGCAAAGGCAAGGGTCAAAAGAATGGCAGCAACGGTCCTTGGCAGACTTCTTCCAGCCATCAAGACAATCTGGTGTCAGCCATAGGTCGCCTGTGTCTGAGACACGAAGATGCGATCGCGATACAACAGGCCAACCAAGGATATATCTTTTTCCTACGCACCACAGGTCCAGAATCGATTATCCAGCCACTGGCCAGAGTATCGCAAGCGTGGAACCAAGCCAAAGAAACCGAGATACCCCGCCACCCTCTTCGAATCGTTCTTCTGTCAGCTCTTCTGGAAGCCACCATAGAGCGTGTAGAAGCGGCCGTGAGTCCGGAGAAGAAGGAAGCTACGGTACAGACAGGCATGTTGATCGACCAGGGTGGCGAGATGTACTGGCCTTACATTCAGTGGAACCAGGAACAGCGCACGGAGGAGGTGATGCCCACAGACCAGGTTCGGCCGTTGGAACACACGAGACTACTCCGGAAATTGAATCAACTGCGAGACTCCATCACGCCGGAGAACGTTTTGAGATGTCATGGCCACCACAAAATTGCGGAGAATCTGGAAACCGAGGTCTATCGGATGGTTCTGGAAGTCGAGACGGTTGGAGACGAAGCTCAGAACATTCACGAGTGGCTTCGTCTTCTTGTGAATTGCACGGTTTGGAAGCTGATAGGCGGCAGGTTCCGGAGGGGGAGATTGGGGCGCTCGCCACTGGCGAAGCGCTTGGGCGAGCTCCTGGGACAATCATGAATTGTTCCGATACAGCCCTTGCCATTCTGCGACCTCTTCGATCCTACAAGGTGCCGAACATGACATTACAGAATCCTCACAATGTCTGCTATGCGAACGCGATTGCCATTTCACTTGCCTGGCTTGGATATGTATTTCAAAACCACACTCATGTTGGTGGCAGGTGCACTGGATGTTTGAGTGTTGTGCATGGAGCTCGGATGCTGCTTCTTACGAATTCTTTGCCGTGGCTGATGATCTTTGCTGACTGGCCTCAGGCTCATGAGCAGCATGATGCAGCGGAATTTCTTTCTCATTTCCTTTCCAAGGCAGCACCGAATGCTTTTACCAGTCTGTGGCAGTCACGTGCAGAATATGAGCATGGTATTCATGTTCAGGAACGTGGCACATTGATGATTCCCCTGGTTCTGGACAGGTTGGGTACAGATCTTCAGTCCTGTGTTGATATGTGGGAAAATCAGTATGATGTACGGCCTGATAATTGGCAACCATTCGTCCGTGCACTTTGCACCTTTGGTCTTGACCATGGAATAGTTCTGCAGCTACAGCGGTTTGTGTCTACTGCATCGGGAGCCAACAAAGTTTGCAACAGGGTTCTAGTGCGACCGGGCCAAACAGTGGCGGTACCAGTATTTGAGAATGATGCTTCCACGACCACGTATATGGTCAGTTGTCGCCTTGCTTTTGTGGTATATCACATTGGACCTACCATGCTTTCTGGTCATTACAAAACAGCTCTATGTGTTCCTGGTACATCCTTGGGGTTTCGTGAAGGCTGGAAGTTTGTTATATGTAACGATGCCCAGAAGCCACACTTGGCCTCTGCAAATGACTATGCAGAAATTGAGACTGGTTGCTATTTACTTGGGCTCTATCGTTCCTCTTCTCTGGCTGAAGCAGGATGACTCTTGGTTTGCTACCGGCACTGCGGCTGGTATTCTGAGCGCTGCGAGCCCCGGTAGTTGCTGTGACGAGTGATGATTTGATGTCAAAGCAGGGATCTATAAGGATTACAGTAAGGGTTTTGTGGGTCACACTGCATTTGTCACAAGGGCTGTATCCTGGCTTTGACATTTTCACGGAATGTACCAACTGTTGCACGCCAGGCCGTGGTTTTGCTTTTATCCATTACTCTCACTTTCCCTGAGTTTATTGTTGTGTACAGTCGGATTTGGTATTGGAGGGTGTTCCGACCACGAAGGCCCTGCGTCTGACTCTGTCTATCGATTTGTAAGTGCATGGTGCCGTATGTGCGGTCTTCCCTCTCTAATATGATTGCTTTTTAGTTAGCTTCCTTATTGCATGGTTCTGGTTTTGGGTTCATTCTGACTGCTTCAAAGACCGTACCTCTGGCAACCCTGCGATTCCGGACGCATCCGATTTCTCATGAGTGACTGCCATGTATGTTTGCTCCCTTGCGGAGATTTCATGCTGAGTCCTTAGGTCTACTTTGTACCTGGTGAATCCTTATCCCACTTTCATGGCAGTCCCAAGCGAGTGCTGAACTTCGACTTTGAAGGCCTTGAGCACCTACCATGTGTTTCTGCCAACTGACTTGTAAAGTGCATACAGCTGTACCTGGGTACTCTCATTCCAGATCGATACTGGGTTTTAGTTCTTTTGGTTGCTCCTTCAGCGGGTATGCACCTCTGGCAGTTCACCTTGTTATGCATGCGTTCTTGAGCTGCTCATCTTTATCATATTTTGTTTATGCACTGAGCTTCTCTCAACGTGTTGCTTCGCTTGACGCAGTTCAGAGAATGTACCACCTGGCCGTGATGGTCCTGCATGTATTGCTGCTGCTATAGACTTGTAATGTGCCTGAGGCAACGACAGGGTCTGCCATATTCAGTCCTAAATCTTGATTTTTACTTCCGGTATCTTGACTGTTGTTTCATCCTTGCCGAAGGCCACCAACAGCAGTCCTCTGATCTGATGCTATGAACATATCACCGTGATCGCGACCTTTGGCGTAGCTCTAGGATTGTTTTGGCCATGCTCCGTTTCTACAATCGGTGATTTGTCCTCGCGGATCGCAATCATCCTTCAGGCTGTGAGGTGGCAATCGATTGTACTACTTGTTGCTTCTTTATGGTCTTTACTGCACTCGTCTGTGTTTTGCCGCCCGGCCTGACGTCTTCTTGAGCTGCATGCCTACAGACTTTTCAATCCTTCGAAGCAGCAATGTCAACATATCTATCATGACAGTGGGTTACTTGTTTTGTTGGTTTCTGGTTATTTCAGCTTTGCAGCTACATTCTACTCAAACCGTGACATTCTGCTTGCTGGAGGGCCATAGCCTTTACTTGGGCTCTTGGATGGACACCAGCTGTTGACCCTAATCTTGTTTATCATTCGGCTTATACTGCACCTGTTCTGGTATGCGTGGTGACCTTCCACTTGCCTGTGTACATCCTTGCTTGGGTCTACGGACCGGGGGATACGTTGCTGGAGTGCGTGCTTGGTCCTTCGGGGCGGCGCACGGCTCTATGCACTCCTTCCTTTCTTACTTTCCTGTACTGGATCACAAAGTGAGCGACCCTGTCGCCGTGCAATACGCACGTCCTTACAGCTCGCTACGTTCGGTCGCCGGACAGCGCTTCAAAGTCAAAAAAGACTGTTGCGGCTATTCAGACACCCACTAGCTTCATCTAGGCATTTATTCAGGTTAAGGCGCCACGGATGTTATGGCAGAGGGTGCATCTTCTCAGGACTGCAGCATGATAATGGCGGAGGAAGGCGGATGCTCAAAAGAGGTGACGTCAGCAACGAGATGCTTGCATACATCCGTGCCTTTGCGCCATGCCAGCGATGGTGCTTGCGGCGAGTTTTTAGAATTCAGAATCAGCTGCATTTTGATCCATAGGTGCCTACTATGCCTCGGACTTCGTCAACTTCGATTACCGGTTGCCATGATAATGCACAGATGTGCAACGCAGCAGAGCGGTCGTGACCTGCACCGGACTGGTGACAGCCTCGAAGTGGACATGGACCTGCACGACTCCGATGGCTTCCGGATCACGACCTCAGGAGAGCTTCGACCTCGTGCATCCAAGCCGCGCAAGTGCGCTCCAAAAGCGACGCATGCAAGTGGCATCCACAGCTCGATTTTTGCTACGATCCAGTGTGCTAATCCCGAAGGTACTCACTTCCATTGCTTAACCAGTTCTTCATTGGTGTCTGCGACAACCCGGCGCAGGCAGGAGAAGGATTGTGTTCCGGATGCCACAGCCTATGCCGCGGGGTTCCCTTCTGCTATGCTCAGGCAAAGCCGGCGGAGCTCGAGGCAGTCACCACTTTCGATAGCCTTTGGGTGAGGTTGGGAGGATGGAAGTGCCGGCTGTCGCGGTCTCTGTGCTGAACGCGAGACATGGTTCCAGGTTGTCGTAACACGCCTGGGTCATTAATGCATTCAGCGCGTTGCGTTCTTTCGAAGGGATGATCGATGCAACTTGGTGCTTTTCCAGGCGCCGAGCATGGAACTCCTGCAGACATTGAGGCGTCGCCGTCAAGCCTCTTGAGATGCCCATCGGCATTGTATCAAGGGGTGTATGTGCAGCATGTGCAAGTCAGTGCCAGTGCCAGTGTGAAGGCGAAAGCAACGTGTGAAGCAAAAGGTATACTGAAGTGACCAGCTCACGGAAAAGTTCGTTGGAGCCACATTGCTTCTCGGAGTATCCGCTGTTGCCGCCAAAGACAGCCGCAGCAGAGCTACTCCCAACGGCGTTCTCCCGCATTGCCAAACAAGTCTGCATCCTGCTATCCTATGTTCAGCGGTTGTTGTGTGGTATGGCCCCTGTCATGTCTACAGCGCTTGCTGTGTGGTGTTGTTTCTATCTTATATACAGAGGTTGCTGTGTTTGTTAGCGCTATCCTGTCTGCAGCACTTGCTGCGTGGTTTTGCTTCTATCTTCTGTACAGCAGTGGCTGTGTGGCATTGCCCCATATTGCCCCTATCCTGTTCACAGTGTGGTCTTGCTTCTATCTATCATATGTACAGCGATTGCTGTGTGATTTCGCTTCTATCTTATGTACGGTGGTTGCTCTGTGGCGTTGCTCCTATCCTGTTTACAGCGCTTGCTGTGTGGTCTTGCTTGTGTCTTTGTCGCTGTGTGGCTTTTCCCGTATCCTGTCTGCAGCACGTGCTGCGTGGTTTTGCTTCTACCTTATGTACTGTTGCCGCGTGACGGCTGCCGTGTGGCAGTGCTCCTAGCCTGTTCGCAGCACTTGCTGTGTAGGGTTGCTCCTGTCTTATGTACAACGGTTGCTGTGTGGCCCCATGTCTGGCCCAAACCCAGCATCAGCATCAGCATTGCCAGAGATGAGTGGGGTTCGCGGGAAAATGAGTTGCACATGGATGATCATAGACATAGATCTGCCATGTATCTGACCAAACGAACTTTAAAACCAATGCGGCATTTCTAGAATGTCGACAGATTACGCTGCACCCTGTCCGCGCCCTTTCTGTTTCTTTGTCGGGCTCGGGCAACAGAGTCGCAGCGTTTTCTCTCCATCTGTCCATGCAGCTCCATGCTTGTGCTTCGTGCGTGCATCGCTGGAATCAACCAAGTAGTCCAGAAAGTCCAAAGAACATGTCGCGCAGTAACTCTGGCACAATTCTTTGTGAAACGGCGGCAATCTCCGACTGTAGGAGCCGTAGCATGTGCTGCTGCATTTTGCAGAAGCCGTGCTGATGTTGAGTCGAGCGCGAGCTGCTGGAGAGCCCTGAAGCATGCTCTTCGGCTGGATGGCGTGTGCTCTTTTTCGTCTGATAGTCCGAGACCCTGAAATCCGATGTCCAGTTCCAACCTTTTGCGTTTTCGTTATTCCTCGAAGTGCTGATGCTTTTTCGCCGTCACAACACGAAGACCGGACCCTAACGGGTTCAATGCTTTTAGACACTTTCAGCCCCCTGATGTCAGGCTTGAGCCTACTGAGGCCCTGAATCCTCTGAATGACAAAGCCTCATATGTCCGATCTTTAGGATTTTCAAGTTTTGAACCTTGTATTTGGAATTCAAGCAGGAATCTTCAGCGCAAAGCCTAGTCTTCCAATTGGCGCCCAGGCTTTCGTTGTCTTACCCGCTGCGGAAACCTTGTTGCTCGGGTCTGATTGGAAAGCAAACGCTAAACGTTGTGGAGAGGTTCTGGATTTCGCGATTCTTCGCAGTTTGCGCTTGTGGGTTTAGAATTGCCCGCAGCGTTTGGGAGTCGCGGTGTGTGTAAGGCCGCTAATGCTGTGACTTGAGCAATGATTTGCAACTGCCAGAGAACTCACAAGCCTTCGCACATGCAAAGTTCTACAGCCTTTTGCCTTTCGATTGCGCCCCGAGCCTTAGCCCACAAGCTAAAGTTTGTGACGCAGAAGTCATGAACAGCTCACAGGCTCCGGGGAAGTCGGGGGCCCAGCGGCAGTCTACAAGGTGGGACGTCCAGGACCCGGGGTATTCAAGTGGCATGTGCGAAGGCTCCGTTTTGTCTACGGGTTTTGGCTCTGCAGGATGCCGACCGAGAAAGTGCACTCCGAAACTCTCCGAGAAGGTCCTCGAGCTGCGACCGACGCCTTCCCAGCTATCCCTCGCAAGATCGCGCCCGGATGCAGAGACTTGGAGCCTCAGATGCGCATCTGAGCCGTCGCTGGCGTCCGGGCTCTGTCCTGGAAGTCGGAGGAGCACTCAGAGCACAAATGGCCACAGGAGCCGACTTGGCTCAGCCTCTGCGGCCTCCCTTTCGTGCCTGCTACTCGGCAGCAAACTTCTTGTGCCACATGTGACCTGGGCGTCCGTGGCGTCCGTGCCATGCAAGGAGCTGCAAGACGTCTTCCTGCGGCTCTCAGGCCGGAGGGTCTCGCTGGGAAGCGGAAGCCCTGTGCCCTGAAGCCCTGGGACCTCCCTCAGGCGGTTCGCTCCACGGTTCTCGACTTGGAGCTGATGCTGGAGCGCGGGCGCCGGGAGGCAGCAGAGAGGCAAAGAGTTGCCAAGAAGTTGGCAAACGCAGGGTTTCCAACTCCAACGCCGTGAGGCCAAAACCTCAACAAACTCCAAAAGACAAGGCCCCCCATAGCCTCCCCGGTTCGTAAGAAAAGAGACTTCTCCCCTGAGGGAGCTGGCCGAGCTGAAGGCCAAGCTCGCAAGCTGGGAATCAAGAGCCTAGTGGCCTGGAGCCTCCTTTTTACTTTCAGAAGTTTAGAAGGATCTGTGTGCAAGGGTTTCAGTAGCTGTTTCTGGCACATCATGAGTCTCGAGAAGCGTTGTTTGTAGGCTTAGCAGCTGTGCAGTGCACGCGAATTCATTGAAGCTCGCTGCTGACAGATGTCACGCCCTGCTAACGAACGGAGGGCAGCCCTGTGAGCCCGGCGCCTTCCCGAAAATGACTTGAGCTTGGGCTTGAGGGAGTGCCTTGCCTTTGCTGTGGCGATCTGATGGCGCGCTTTCGGCTGATTTTCGCCGGCTGAAGTTGCACGGGGTTGCATACCATCTACAAACAGCGATGAGCTACATTCCGTCCATCCAGATAGATAGTCTTACTTCGAGCAGTACGCGCTTTGTAACACGTGGTCTCTCTGCTGCTGCGTGTCGGATCGAGCTGTCTGGGGCAGCACTTGTTCGAAAACGTTCGGGTTACTAGTTCTTTAGATCTCGACCGTTACTGTTGTGTCCCATTGCTGCTTGTATCACGACTGCTACGTCTGCGGTTGTCACAGCCCCGATGCTCCGGACAAATGACAGACGCATATGCACACCAAGCAAGCATGTGGCAAAAGTCGTGTTCCGCTCTTGCGTCTGCTCTCGGTACTGCCAACAGCCCACAGAGAAGCAAACGCAGCGTTGCTCGGCTGAGTTGGCTTTAGCATCGAGGTTCTGACCCAAGGAAGTTCCTGCAAAGAACCAGACTTCCTGAGGTTCATGCTCACGCAAACTGCAGAGACTTCCAGCGACCTGCAGGTGCATGTCAAAATATAGCAGCTGATATTGATCCCTTTTCTAGTGCCGTCTATTTCCGCTGAATGACAGGAGACAGGTTCACTATTGTCGAGCTTCGGGCAGAATACCTGCTTGGCGAAGCAGACAGAACAGGCCGGACTTGTTATCCTTTGGTGCCGCCCGGGTGCAGGGAAACAGACAGCAACATGTTCAAGATCCTGATCACGGTGTGTTAATTCTGGGGTTCACTTGTCGTCTCAAGCCTTTGTCCACCACAGGCTAGTAACACATGTCAGAGTCGTGTCATGCAGGTGGGCGAATGCCAAATCTGCTTCGAGGCTCGGGAACATACAGCGCCCCTTTGCGTAATAATATCCTAACATCACGACTGCCCCTTAATTGCACCAGTGCTGATTCTGCTAGTAGACTGCCATCGTCGTCATCAGCAGGATTCTTCAGGCTAGGCGAAGTCGTCCTCGCCTTACGTCTTGGCGGGGTCGTGCCTATTGTGGTGTGCTGCTGCTGTTGTTATTGTTGTTGTTATTCCTACTCTCCTTGGTGTTGTTACGATTGTTACAGTTACTATTACTTTTACTAGTACTACCAGTCACTATCACCCTCACTGTCACTGTCGTTTTCTTTGTTATTGTCATTGTTGTTGTTCGCATTTCTTAATTGTTATTGTTCCTATTGCTATTGTTGTTTTGTCATTGTTGTTGTGATCAGAATTATTGGTATTATTGGTATTATTATTATTATGATTATGATTATTATTATTATTATCATTATTATTATTATTATCATTATTATCATTATTATTACTATCATTGTTATTTAGGGGCTGCGCCCAGGTGCGGGCAGCGCGAGCTGTTGTCAGAAACCCGCGGTATATAGATAAGTGCAACGTAGGCCCGAAGTGCGCAACTTGTGGGTGATCGTAGGCTCTCAGCCCCCGTCGGCCCTGCATGTAGCCCGCACCCCCCGTCCGCCGGACCCCGCTGATGCTCATGATGCGCGCCCTTTGGCGGCTTCCGCAACCCACTCAAAAACTTGGGAGTTATGACTTCGCGCCCACGTCGCGCCGCCGGCGCCGGTTGCGGGCGCCCGAGGGCTCATGATGCTCGCCGGCTCGCCTCCTGGGGTCGTCCACGGCGGCCCCGAAACCCGCCACACCGCGGGGAATGGCTGCAAAACGCGTGCGCGTTCCGAGACGCCTTCGGGCCAGGCCCCGCGCGGCCCGAGGGAGAAACGAGGGTCCGATGATGCGGGGTCCGGGGCGGGTCGGCGGCACTGTCGGTCGTGGCTTCTGCTTCGCAGACGAAGCTCATTCGTCTGAGCCATAGCTCAGTCCATACAGGGCAGCGAAGCGCTTCCCGATTTAGGGGCTGCGCCCAGGTGCGGGCAGCGCGAGCTGTTGTCAGAAACCCGCGGTATATAGATAAGTGCAACGTAGGCCCGAAGTGCGCAACTTGTGGGTGATCGTAGGCTCTCAGCCCCCGTCGGCCCTGCATGTAGCCCGCACCCCCCCGTCCGCCGGACCCCGCTGATGCTCATGATGCGCGCCCTTTGGCGGCTTCCGCAACCCACTCAAAAACTTGGGAGTTATGACTTCGCGCCCACGTCGCGCCGCCGGCGCCGGTTGCGGGCGCCCGAGGGCTCATGATGCTCGCCGGCTCGCCTCCTGGCGTCGTCCACGGCGGCCCC